AGTATTTATTTTATTATTATTATATATATATATATATATATATATATATATTTAGTATTCAAAGATATAATTATGTTATTATTATTATAATATTACATATAACATATATAATAAAAAAATAATATACTTAATATAATATATTTAATTAACTTGTATTAATTTAAACATTTTGATAAAATTCATGTATTATGCTATAAATTGATTAAAGTATTATGTGTATACAAAATATGTACGCTCATATTTCGTTTCTACTACATAAACGAATAGTGGACACAATACTCGCAATATGCGATAAGAATCCTGACAGTCGGTGGTCTTAGACTATAACTGAATCAGTTCAGTGTCGCCATTCGTAGACGTTTAAACGTTCTTGGTTTCTCTCACACTTGTTATCATTATCATTAAAATCTTATTTTTCCGAACGAAAATATTTCATTAAAATCAACGTCATGTTAACACAGTGGATAGAGGGAATAGACGATTTTTAAAATAAGAAGAACTATGTCATATAGGTATTATAATGGTATGTTAAATTAAAATAATAATTATTCAATTTGCAATTGAATTAATAAGTCATAGAATTTAAATAAAATATGTTTGAATTTTTAATTAAATTCTTGGTTAAAAATATTGGTTATAAATTAGTTCGGGTATATATTTTAAAATTCTTTTATCGTTTTATTGAAGGAAATATTACAAAGCATTCATGATAAGGCGATCTGAAAATAACTATACCTGTGCACGGGATTATCTGCGTAGATAGATTATCTATCGATGTTCTGTCATGCATTCCATGTAATTAGAGCTCAACGAGTGTCGTTTGTTGATTAGACGTTCGTCGACTTAGATTGTTCGTAGCTGGATTCTATCGAATGTTTTCGATGGAGATCGACTATCTTAATGTTTGAATAACTTTTAAGAATATTTTTAAATAGAAGTAGTAAAAGTTTATTTAGCTTAATGAAATTTCAGATTTAATCAATTCAGTAATTGATTATATTCACTTTAAATCAGCGAATCAAAATATTTATATTATATTTTTAAAATTATTTCATTAAATATTTTTTTCAATAATCTTAAATTGTAGCGACAAATATTTCCTTTCGTTTATATTCATTACATTCAATTTCTATTTCAAGTAATTGTTTTATAAAATTTCACTGATATGCCATTAAATTATTTTCATTTGGATTAAATTTTTTTTTTCAAAATAAAAGCATGAAGAATTCCATTTTTAAATATATTATATAATTCATCATAAAATATCTTAAAAATTATTTTCAATCTTAATAATTATGCAGATTCCATTTCTAACCTATTTGTGTATATTTATCCATAAAATTTAATATATTTAATAAGAATTTAATATATGAATAACTTGGAATTTATTTCTAAAAAAAATTACATTTCTTGTTTGATATTTTAAATTTTTGATCAGTTCAGAAACAAAATTTATTTAAAATCACAAACAACGCGTATATTTTGTTTGCAGACATTTTCTCGAAGAATCCGCAAGCGTGTATACGGGCACGCGTTACAATCGCGTTACATGGTTTCTAGCGGCTTAGAAACGCGACGAACAGCTTTTCACAGAGAAGGGTTTAAGCACTCTAATCAAATCTACGATGTTAGTTTCTTGTCATTGCCCTCTCGGTTTGCACGCAAAAGTCTATTGGCACGTTTTTCAACGCAAACACGAGCTAACTACTGAAGTTGCTGTTCCATTAGTGTAGCTACTTTATTTTTTTACACTTGAAAACTTGGATATTTTTCACTTTTTTCTTTTGTTTTTCAATATAATAATGTTTATTCTGTGTAATAATTAAATTCTTTGAAAAAAAAAATGTTTACGACAATCTTAACTGCATTTAACTTTATAAATATTTTAGGTTAGATTTCAATGACTAAGACTGGAAGTTCTAGGTTAAATTTCGTTTATATGTCAGATATATGCTTTTTGCATTTCTTTCTTATCTTTTAAAATAGTAAATAACAATATTTTTGTTAAATTTTTTAAAAAAGTTCTTTATATATTTTATTTTCAATTTTAAGAATTACTCTAAAATTGTAAGATAATAATGATCAATATTATTTTATTTTTCAATGCCATTTTATTTATCTTCAAAAAAATAATATAAATTATTCAGAAAAATTGTTTCGATAAAATAGATAATATGAATTAATTATCGATATATATCACTATGATAAGGTATATTGTTGTAACTTGAAGATATCCAATTTTGATAGCTATGTTCTTAAAAGACTTAAATCTTAAAATTATCTTTTGTCTAATCATCCCGTACATATCTAATCTAAAAGATTATATTATTATATCAAGTTTTATATTCTAAAAAATTTATAAGATTAGTTTTAGTTTTATTGAAACAAAAATTAAAAATATATTTTATTGTTATATTAATTTGTAGTCGATAAATTATTATCAGTTGATTTTATGATATTAATTTAGTATATATAGATAATAGATTTAATGGATAAAATGATAAAATTAATAAAAAATATTAAAAAGTTATAAAATTTTGAATATTCTTTACGATTTCAATTTCATATAAATTTCAACAATCAAAACAAAGTTTCAAGTTTCACTCAATAACCATAAAAAATAATTAAAAAATATATAAACAAAATTTTAATTTCTTAAATGAAGTTTCAACATTAGTAATATATAAGTTTTAATGTTAACATATTTTTGATTTAGTAACGAACTATTTGTTTTACATAACCTAACTTAAAATACTATCGAAGAATTAATCTAAAATATTATTAAAAATTTATTAAAATTACTAATTAAAATGATTAAATTTATAATCAACTTTTTATTTTAAATCATTTTATTTCAAAAGAAATTCTATTTTACGATTTATAAATTAAATCGCCAGTTAAATTAATAACGCGCGTTATCTGTGTACAATGGCGGACATGGTTACTAGGGAAAAAAGAGGGCGGTATTGTAGTAAAGGCGTGCAAAGTAAATAAAGAACAAGCGCGAATAACGTTTACCTGGTAAAACCATTTTGTTTTTTACTAGCGTTCGTGACTCGACAAGATTATTGTCCCCGCTTTATCGTTGCTATCGTCAGCGAACAAGCATGTATCGTAAATTTTTCTCCGTCTTATAAGGAATGAACAACAGCCGAATAAACATGTATGCGAATGTGAATTGCTTGTTTAGTATATATATATATGTGGAAAAACTAGGATCTTAATAGAACTGCCATTTCTTTTCTATTGTAGAATGAGGTAAAGTGATAAAATTATTTTCTTTGATTTTTAATCTTAAAGTTAAAATTAAATGAAATATTTTGTTTTTTATAATATATATTTGATATAAAGAAATTTCTTAATTTTTAAGATAGCAATAATATAAATGATATTGATACTTTGTAATATTAGAGATTTATTTAATTTCAAGAATATTTATGATTGATATTTATATTTGTATTATATTAAAATTAATTTTGAGCAGAAATAGATAAAGAAAGAAGAGCTAGAAAAAATTAATATTGAGAGAAAGGATTAATATTAGAATCATATGTAATATAGGAAAGTCTTAAAATATATCTAAAATTGAAAAATTTAAAAGTTAGAAAACTAGTTTTTCTAACATTACATTTCTATGAATATTCCTTGAATGGAATTTCCATTTTCGCCGCACGTGCTTTTTAAGTCCTCAAACAGGATGTTATGTTCAAAATCTAATTTTGGTAAAATGTTTAATTTCAGGGGCGCAGTATGTGCCCGGCGTTGGGCTTGGCGCTGCACCCCAAAACAGGAGCTTCAATTTCGAATATATACCGAGCTATCCACCGATTAGAATCGACAAATACAGGGGTGGTTCTGATATACAAAAGAGAATGACTCAAAGAGAAGATACGTTGAGATTCGAGCAGGGCCGTATTAAGGCCTTGCAGGAAGAACGTTTGCATATACAGAAGAAAACATTTACTAAATGGATCAATTCATTTCTATTGAAGGTATTATAATTTTTAAAAATATTTTAATGATATTAGCTACTTAAAAAAATTATATACTTGCTATTTTATGAATATGTTATAAATATTTTTTGATGTTCTGAAAATTAATTAATTTAGAAAAAAAGTTTAAAAATAATATTTAGATAATATTGAAGATATTTATAAAAATGATTCACGTTATTTCATATTGTTGCTAGAATAAATCTTGTCTGCGAAAAAGAAAAGAATCCGGCGACTCGTTGAATCGATTACTTTCACTTTGCAGGCACGTATGGAAGTAGATGATTTATTCACGGATCTAGCGGATGGCAAGAAGTTACTGAAATTGCTGGAGATCATCTCTGGTGAACGATTGGCCAAACCTAACAATGGTCGCATGCGAGTACACAAAATCGAGAACGTGAACAAATCTCTAGCATTTCTTCATACGAAGGTAGGATTAATTAATTGCTTTCTCACATATTATTCAAATTAGCATTAATTTTTCCGCATTATAAACGTGTATTCGAGATAAATGCGTTTCGTTCCCATTATATGATCATTAAATTAATTAATAATCATACATGAATCTTTATAAAATATTTTTAAATAAATCGTATAAAATTTTATATTTTTTCGAAGAATATAAATTTAGGATTTTAGATCTTTTAAGCTTTTTAAAGGATTTAGGATTTTATATAATCATTCTAAGATATTCTAGATAGATTTAGATAGTATACAAACTAATGCATTACGTTTCTAATTTCTTGAATAATTGTTTGTTAAAACTAGAAAATAAAACTTTCTAAAGTTGAGAAAAAAAATAATACCTAAGAAAATTTAAAATATTGAATTTCACATTTCTTGAAAGAACAGAAAATTATACTTTATAATCGATTTCAGAGAACTGAGAATTTTCTCTCTGTTCTTTACTTATTCTCAATCTCAGTAAACGCTATTAATATCTCTATGAATTTTTTTCAGCAGTCTATCAATATTTGCAATTCATTTTACAAATAAGATTTACTATTCTCGGTATAATTAAACAAAAACTATTTGTTATTCAATTTTTTTTGAAATTTCTTTTTTCTATTTTAATTCCAACATATTCTTTAAATATAAGTGATTTATCATATTCGATATCTTCTTAAAATTAAAAAATTTCTTTTGGAGATATAGACTTCAGCATCTTTATTCATTATATCGATAAATCTAATTATTCATTAGAAAATAATTCTCACGCTTTCACAATTGTCTCTTATTTCACGTCAGCATTATAATCAATTATAAAGTTATATAAGGGATGACGCAAATAAAATTTGAAATTTTTTTCAGTAAAGCTTTTCCTCGTTAAAAATATTAATAAATGATTATATCCAATCTCTGATTTGCATTTATTTGATCATTTCGTTACATTCAAGCTATTAACCGTTTTAATAATTGAGATAATAAATTATTACATGTAATTATAACTACATGAATAATTGTAGATAAAAAAGTGATTAAAAGTATCAATTAAGTATTCAATTTTAAACTCATTATAAAATTAAAAGAAACATATATTAAAATTTTGAAAAATATTTATAATTATGATGCTGGTGATATTTACTTTTAATAACAAGAAAATTTATTCGTAATTATGTATTATTGATACATCATAAACCTAAAGCGTTTAATATCCTAAGAAAAACGTAGAATCCAGAAAAATTTTAAGTATAGGAATATTCAAGAGAATATGAAATTTAGAAAATATTAGAAATACAGAATTTTTAACTTTTTTCATACAAATATAGCGTTTTAAAATTTTCGATTTCTTGAGAAAATATAAAATCTAAAGAAATTTATAATGCAATTTCAGGTTTAAAAAAAAAAAACATAAAACCAACAAGAATATATAACGAATATTTTATATTTCTTGGAGCGTAAAGTTCTTTCTAACAAAATGTCTTCCGATTTTCCATGTCATTGCATAAGAATAAATTACAAAAGTCACAATACTTGGAAGTAATGTCTTTCAGACACGTCTTGCGCCTACGATCCCGTAAGTGCATTATGTCGCACCATATGCAGCACACATAAAACTATTATGTCATAAGCTACGAAGCGTAGAGGCCATTCACGAGGACTTTGCACTTGTAAGGATTCGCCTCGAGTTCCGCGTACACGTAGGACGTCTTTTCTAACCTTTATGGTTATACCTATCGATTATAAAAAGTGCATATAAACAATATATGTATTTTAGACAAAATAATCAGCATAATAAAATTTCATTTCGTAATATTTTAGAAATAATTGAGAAGAAAATTTTTTTTAATTAACAAAAACCAAAACTTATTATTTTTTGGTTATATAAAAATTTCGTAGAAAATAATAGTATCTTAGATTTTTTTTTAGAAGTAATTATATTTTTTTCTATTCTCTAACCGATATTTAACGATATTCATTATATTTTCAGAAATAAATATAACCTATCTCATCATTGCTCTACTTATTTGACCCGGATTGATGCGAAATTCAATTAGTTGAATTCGAACGAAAGGAGAGAACTCGAAGAAATGAAAATACACACCGTGTCTTGCGAAATGTCAGGTCAACTTTCGTCAAATACTTTCGCGATTTGAAATTCGTCGCGCTTGCCGCGCCGATTTTCCCTAACTTTCTAAGCTGGATGAAAAATCGTTGAAACGTTCGTGAAATATATTTACATTAGCCAAGTATCATCCTTGAGAAATAATCCGTAGAAATAATTCTATTCAACAATCTAGGTAGAAAACATTGACCGTCATTATTCAATGACATATCATGTGATAAAATATATCGTGATTTGCGCGCCGAATTCGATTAGATGTGGTTATTCATGAATTTGGACGTTAAATATTGTTGTTACGCTATTTCGCTACTACAATAAATAATCGTTGATGATTTATTGCTTGAATTTATCATGATCTTATCAAGTACGATTTCAAGGCGTTTGATTAATAACTTTATGTGATGATAGTTATATAATAATGTTAAAAAATTATCTGAAATTAAGAAAACAAATTTTTATAAATATTAAAGAATTGAATGATGAAGATAATAGGATAAAATAATAAGATAGAAATTTTTTTATTCAAGAAATATTCTTAAGTAAAAATTGTAACTTTAATCCATAAAACATAAGTAATTTCTTTTGAATTTATTTCTTTATCGAAGAAGTGAATTCTTGATTGAGTGAATATGAAAAGTTATTCGTGGAAAAGACATGTTTTACGCATATTTATTACTGCTCCTTGTTGTTACGCGATTTGTGACGTTACGTAAAGCATTTTGCTAATCGCGTATAAAAAGTATAAAATATGCGGACGTGATCTTAAACGAGCATTAAATTTATATACCTATCTCGTAATCGATGCTGAAGTTTTCAATTTAAATTCTACATATTGTAATTGTAATTACAATCCATGTAATTACATACCTTCTGTCTGCTGTTTTATTTCCCAATAATAACTATTTATAGTTACACGAATAATATTGCTTAATTCAATAGTAAATAATATAACAACTTTTTATTATTTCTAATCTATTGATGAAGATTTACATGTAGTATTGATATAATGCAATAATAAATTTGTAGAAATTTCTTTTGAAATTTAAATACATTGTTCTCTGCTAATTTAAACATGTAACATTATAATTAAAGCATAGTAATTATATTTTTTATTATTATGATTATTTATATTAAATTTTTTTAAAAGAAAATCTATAAAAATTAGAATTTGAAAATTGATATATAATATGATAAAGAGGAAGAGAATATTATGCTAAAATCTTAGAATAATGTTAAATTCGAGAAGTATTCTGTAACTATGCTTCCAAAACTGATAGTGGATGCCTCTCGCTAAGGGCTGTTCCCATAACTGAAAGAATCCGTGCCGATAGTAATTAGGAGGATATCCTTAGGCCATTCTAAGAAACCATAGTTTCCGTGAAACTTAAAACAGTCATGAGAACAATATTTCTCATTGTCAGTGTTTAAAAAAGAACGTAGACAAATTTAGATGAGGAAAAAAAATTTGTATTATAATTATTATAATATACTAAGTTATATAATTATCATTATAAAATTATTGTAAAATATGTTATATAATGATCCATAGGATATTTAAAAGTGAAAATATTGAATTATTGAGATTATTAAAATAATATAACATTCATATATCTCTTAATATAATAAACATGTCTCTTATGTATTGAATTGTTTAAAATGTTAGATAACTAATTATTCGAGTATTGAGATATCAACAAAAAGATTTTGAATAAGGAAAAACTAAGAAATAGGAGAAAGAGAAAGAAGGAAAAAGAAAGTGAACAACTATTGTGTAACAAAAAAGAAGGAAGAGAGAGTGGTAAAAAAGGATTCACAAGAAAAATGAGATAACAAAAAGAATTATATAATAATGACAAAAAAATTGTTATTCAATGGCAATAATTACCATATCTTATCCAAAAACAAACGAAAGAAATTGAAATCAAAAAATAGAATCAGAAAGGTAATCTCTGGAAGAAGGACAGAAGGACAAACCATAGGCAGGATTAAAGGAATGAAACTCAGAGAAAGAGAGAAGGAAGGGTCAGCGACCGAGGCGAAACTTGCTAGACCGTGAGTCCCGCAGATGTGAAATGAAACCAGACGGCACATACGTTGCTCGTGTGTTGATCATTTCACGTTAGACACTATTCCGCCATAACCACTTACAAGAGCCTGTCCACAGTCTGGACCAACGCCTCTGGCTACCTGTGAACATTCAATGACACTGATTCCCTGATATTTTTCTCATGAAACCTATGATTCAATTACATTGACAGAGAATCATGTTTTATATACTGATTTTGTCTTAGAAAAATTAAAAATCTAAGTTAAATGATATTAGAATATAATTGAAAATTAATTCATGTTTTAATTCTAGAAATTGGATAATTAAATATCTTAAAGATTTGATTCAAATTAAAATAAAGGGACAGATTAGAAAATGATATCAAAATAATTGTGTTTGATAAGAAAACAGATATTAAAATTGATAAATTTGCTTTTAAACAAATAATATTATATTATATATGTATAATTATTAATTCTAAACAATTAAGTTTCTAATCTTACTCTACATCATGTTTCAATATAATACATGTATCAGTTAAATCAAATAATATTTATAATACATGTATCAGTTATTCCATTTTACAAATATATATCATTTAGGTTATTATATTATTTTATTTAATCAATAAAATACTTATATCAATATAAAATAATTTCTTCATATTTTTTCATGCATACATACATGATTAAAAACATGCTTGAAAAAACTGAGCAAAAATTTTCGGTGAAAGTACAGTCAGGGGAACGTGTGACTTGCATTTCTTAACAATTATTGTGAAAGGAATTGAGAATCAGAACAAACGTGTCACATTATA